CTTTATTTACTAGAATCATAAAAAAAATATCCTTCTCTGGAAATTATATGGCTCCAACCATTTAGGTAACCAAAGTACTATATAAAATGTATGATCGCATTGAACATTATATTGTGATATCATTTTATCATTGTATTGCACACGATCAACTATAAGTTTCGCTCTCCTTTTAGGAAGACACACAATGATATAATCGCCGAGCTTCTTGATGACCAGCCCATTCCGAACAACGATCAACGACGAAGACGAGTCCCTTACTGTCCATCTAACTTAAGTCAATTTCCCAGGTAGTTTCAACTAAGTCGACTCAACGTCGTTGTCGTGAGTGAGTAGGTGTGCTCGAAGATAGCTTTCATGAGAGAAAACCTTACCGCACACACTGCACTCGGAAGGCTGTTCACTTGTTGGCGTGTCCTCAACTTCCGAGTGAGATCGGAGATGCGTAAGCAAATGAGCATTCTGTGCAAATTTCCTGTCGCATAGAGTACACTCGAAAGTCTTTTCGGAATGGCCCCGCATATGGTGAGTCAAGTGATAACTCTCAGTGTACTTCTTATGGCACAACGTGCACTCGTAAAGCCTGGCTTTGGCGTGGGTACGGACATGTATCCGCATGTTTAGCTCGTTTAGAAACTTCTTCTCGCACACAGTGCACTCGAATGTCTTTTCTACCGCGTGGTACTTCGCATGTCTGTGCAGACTCCTTTGAGTCGAAAACGACCTCGAGCAGACTGTACACTCGAAGGACTTTTCCTCGGCGTGGGTCGGAACGTGTCTCGTCAGAGAGGTTTTCGACGTGAATTTCTTGTTGCAAACCTTGCACACATAGGGCTTTTCCCCGGTGTGGATCCGCATGTGAATGGCCAGGTTCTCATTGTTCGCGAGTTTCTTGTCGCACACCGTGCACTCGAAGGTCTTATCCTTGTGAGCCCCCTTGGACGTAGACGCCATTCCCCTCTGAACGCAACGACGACACGAGGTTGGTGTAGTCGCTTCCGTGTGACGACCTCCGTGCAGAGTCAAACTGAACCCACACACGTACCCTGGAAAGACAAGAGAAAGAAAAACTCGTCAGCTTCAAAGACAAACAAATAAAAGAGACGACACGTTGAGGCGTTAAAACTGATTTGCTTGGTCTTTACAGCTCAAAAGTTAATTAATGCTTGCTTGTCTTTAATTCTATAAGAAGGGTTTCATACGACGGCTTTTTCCTTTTCTTTAGCAGCACAGCAGTCAGGCGCTTGGCCAAGAGTACACATATCGTCCATAATTCCCTATTGCTACTGCACTAAAAAATGTGTTTTTACTGATTTACTGAAAAAGGGAAAAAAAAAACAAAACAGGTAGACACGAGACATAAGGACACCCACTGATACTATATATAACGTTCACAGAGCAAAAGAGCGGGCTAGGAATAGAGTTTTGAAAACGTGCGCAGAAAAGCGTGCGAGCCCCTTTGACGCGGCGCGCACTCGCGCTGCAAACCAGACGGCATATAATTACAGGGAGGCGCCCAAAGCGTATAGCGCAGCGCAGCACCCCCCCCCC